TATGGATTCTCAGACTTTATCTTTTTTCAGCAAAGGGATGAATGAATCTGGTTGAATTGGAAGAAGCTAGGCACAGCGGGAACGAGGACCTGAGTCTTCCACCAACACCCTATGGTAGTCTTTCACTTTCATTTTGTTGTCAATATGCCCAACCTGAATTTAAAACGACCTTCAGAAGATGCAAATAGAGATTCTCATTCAATTACTGAGTATCCTTTCCTATTGCTCCATTTTGTGCAAAAGAAATAAATATTTTAAGCAGTGCATTTGAATTAGAGTATTCCAGATACCCTAATCCAGGGACAAGATGACCATGTTCTTTTCTGCTGAGCAAACTGAGGATTAAACCACCCTCGAAGAGATAACGCTATTTCTAGATATCTGGATAGAAAACAATTCATTGTCTACCCAAGAACTCTAAAAATTTCCACTCTTTATTTCATTTCTGATAATGTGACTAAGTTAGAAATTACTGTGCCCCTTTCTGACTCTGTAGCCACTGCTAGGGCCATGCTGTCACTGGCCAACTCCTGACCCCCTCATCGCCTCACTCTGCTCTTCTATCTAGAGCATCTATCTTCCTCTTTGCCCTTCACTTCTTCAAGTCTTCCTTCTCTAGAAAGCCCAAACTGTTCTTCTTCAAAGAGTACCAGGAACTTTTCTTGCTTAGCATTTAAGCCAGAGACAATTTTACACATGATTGTGAAAGTATTGGATTAAGATGTTTCTCCTTTCCTGTCATGTGTAAGTTCTCTAAGAATAGGAACACCTTTTCATTGTGTTAGATACCCTAAGCACATTCACAGGGTCCAACACATAGTTGACACTAAAAATATGAAGCAATGTTAAAAATCCCACTTGCTTTCTGAATTATTAATAAAAGCAATAGGCAATATATAGTATAGGTATTGAATAAAGAATTGCATAATAGTTCTAAGTTTTTTCAGTAAGGTGTAGTAAGAAATTTAAATAAAAAGACATGCCAGTGCAAGAAAATTTAAAAGATAAACAGAATGGCCCCATTGTGTTGAAAGGGAATATCGTTATCAGTTAAGCTCATAGATCTAAAATAAAGCAGCAGGAAAAGCCAGATCCATACACTGTTTCTCTGGAGAGCAGTCAGTGTGTAGTGAGGTTCTGCCTTGTTGCAGGAATATTTGCAATATTGGTACCACAGGGGCCCTGGACTCATGCTGACATTTCTTTTTACCACTGAATGCAATAATGTTGTATTGTACCGCAAAGAATGGTGCTCCCTGTTAACCTGATATCTGCATTATCCATCTCTTTAGAACCATTTTCCTTTTGTAAAAATGCTATTTTAAAGCCATGGTTAACCTTTACATCTTCAACTCCAAAGCTCCTTTTATCAATGAAGAAAAGAGGCCCAGAATAATAAAAATACTTCATTTCAAACTGACAGTTCTTTTATACTGCATATAGTTGCAGAGGGCCATTGCAAGAAGAAGCACAGCAAACCAAGTGTCATTTTGACCAATGAGAATAGGTTTTCCCTAGGATCTCTTTGTGATGGTTCTCTCTTCACTCCAAACTAGCCATTATCAACTTTGATGGTCCAGGTTTTACTGTTCCGTGTAAGAGCTGACCATTGCACTTGTCATCCAAACCAGGGCATCGGTGAAAGTGCACTGCAACACACAATAATTGCTTTGAGACAGCAGATGTAAATCAGGACCATCCTGTGTAAGCCAAGACAAATGGTCACTTTAACACTGCATTAAAATCTGCAGAAAAACATGCCCATAGAGGCTTAATAAGTGATGCATTATAATTCCTCCTCAAGGGTGGCCTTGGAGGAATCATACCCTCGTAAGTGCATGGGTACCACCCCTCCAGTGCTCCATAGCACATACCGTATGTTGTAGAATTTGGCCATTTCTCACTCAATATTCACAGTCACACCCCCAGAAGAAGTCAACAAAGAATTCAACATGACTTTCTCACCCCAGAATGCCTCTGTTTAGTGCATGCTGTGTGTGGTGTTTTGTCTTTGAACATTCTGGCATGGCCAGGAATTGTTTCCTAACTGTCTTATTACCAGTTACAATGGATCATTCACCAATCCCTGTTACTCTAAGAGTATCTCCAGAGCACCCATATCATTGTTCACCGTTTCCTCTCTAAAACACACAAGCAGCACTTACGTATAGTAATTACCTGTTAACCTCTTCCACCCAAAATATGTTGAGAACTGATATCATGAAAAAAATTAATTTGCTCATGTAATCAAAAGGGAAATCACAAATATCAAGAAACTATTGTGCTGTTCCTTTATTATCAGAACTTTTAGGCATCCAAGGTAGAAAGAAAATCAGATTTCCTGGGATTCAAAAGTCAAAGTTTGTCTGGGTTTCTGTCTCTTGAGTCATGGATGGGCATGGCTATTTAGCCACGACTCAACCGCATTGTCCTAAACCCGGAATGGACTGACGCGTTTTCTCATTTCGAGTTAAGCATATAAAGACCTTCTGATTGGTCAGCAGATAACAATCCAAACTCCACAGAGTGAGTAGAATTACGAATATTTCCACCACCACTCCTTTCTGAAATCTTGAAATTATGCTCTCAAGAAGGAAGGCCATCACTGATCATCTTATCTCGAGCCCTGGTCCATTAAAAAGCCATATTTGGCCTTCTTATTTTCTGTCATTTTCTTACAGATTACTAACTCTGGATAAGTACATTTTAAAAAATTAATACCCAGTAAAACTGTAGATTCTCAGTATTACACGAGGGCTGGGTAACCTTTCAGTTGTAATAAACTAAGACTATCTTACTTCACTACAGTTAGTGCGCTTTATTTCTGCTCTTCCTAGAAAAGCAGTGCGTTTCTCAGTGCCCAGTTTGTCCTTGATGACTGAGTGTGTCTGCACAGTATAGCATGTGTCTAGCAGACCTGTTTTTTTTTTCCTACTCGTACAGTAGTTTCTATGGTCTCTCTCATTTCCATATCACATTGAAGGAGAAATTCCTCACTAAGAAGGAGGTCAATTCCATGACTTGTATTTTCTTCACTCAGAGATGAAGTTCTATATCTGTTCCTGTACCTAGTTCAATGTTCATTTCCCACTTGTAGACGGGGAGGTAGCTGAAGGTAAAACTGTACTCCCAGCACATAGCACCACTCCAGAGTCTTAAACTGTAGTGCCCACTAGATTCATTGGCTTGGAATGGGTTAAAGTGATTTAAAATGAAAAAGTTACCTTTCCTTAGCATTTGTAAAACTTCGTATTTGGGAATCAACTTAAAAGTACATGGAATAATATTTATTTATTTCAGATAGCTCCTTTCTAATATCAGGTTTTACACACTGCCTTTGATGTAGAATCTTAAAAGAAGTCTGTATCACAAAGTGACTTAATCATACAAATCTGTTAAAATACAATGCATAAATTCAGTCTCTAACCTGAAGTAATATTCATTGAAATTACATTTAAGAAACTGCTTTAAAGTAGCTTAACATGTGTGTGTGTGTGTGTGTGTGTTTGTGTGTGTGTGTGTGTGTGCATTTTAAAACTTCTATCATGGATTTAGGGACACAGGAAATTCACATGGAAAAATACATGGGCCTTTCAGTACAGTGGGTTCCTTTAAAGAAACTGAAAAGGTAGACTGATCTAATAACTGCATGGGTGTGTTTATATACTTGTATAATAGAAAAAGCTCTTTGATATGTAAATAATATGCCACTTTTAGTTGGAAAATACTTAAATCAACAAGTAGTATGCAACCTCCGAAGGACAGTCTTGCAACAGATGGTTTCTCTACAACCTCTAATTCTCATATCAGTACTGACTAAATACACACTATGACGAAGTGACAATTATTGACATTTGGGGGGGAAATAAACAGCTTAAATACGTGTCATGTTATTCACTAATTTAAAACCATTTAATAGAATTAAAGTAGACAAGAAGAAAAGAGCTTTTAAAAATACAGCTTTATAGCCCCCTTAATATCTTGCACAATGATTGGAAAAGTCTTCTCATTTAAAAATTTTATTTGGATGAATGTTTAAAATACTTACCATGTTATTCATTAAGAGAACTTTTCTCAGAGACTATCAGAAATACACCCTTATATAGAGCACCTATATCTACATGGTTGTGTTTATAGCTATTATTCACTAATAAAATTATAATTCTTTATAGGGTACCTAGAGTCTACATAGTTGCAGTCACACTTTTCATTCATTATTAAATAATTCTGCGTCTGCTTCATCTGATAATCATAGAGTCTATTTTCTCTCTGTTTTACTTTCTGTTTCTTTGTATCCTAGTAGGGTGGTCTAGAAGTGTTGTCTTGAGCTGTTTAATTATTCCTAATGTAGAAAAAATATTTTTCTGGATTTATAAGACATTGAAGAATGTACTATTATTTTTTTCAAACACAAAACCACAAAATAAGCTAGAGGGGCATCTACCAAGTGATTCCATTTATGTCAAAAATAGGTGCAGTTATCCTATGATCTTCTCAAGACCATGGTCACCCTTGAGGGGATGGTGGCACTAACCAGAAGGGATATGAGGGAGGCTACAGTGACACTGGTAAATGGTGTTTCTGGGTATGGTCCCTGCTCACCTTGAGTGAGTTGTTTATGAATAGGTTTTATATGTTCATTTATTCTTTGGGTATATGTTATACTTCGATTTAAAAGTAACCTAAAATCAAATGAAGAAACTTAGAAAGGAAGAATGAAAAGACCTCAAATTATGTTTTCTTAATAGTAAATTCCGAAGGGCCTCCTACAAATCACACATCACTCTACCCATGTTGTCAAAGCCACAAGCCTGCTCATCAACAGAACCAAGACCTCAGTCTCAGGCAGAGAATCTCCTGACCCCCTATCTTGAGGACATCCTTATTTTATTTTGTTTTTGGTCATGAGCTTTGCTAACCTCTAAAACCTGTGGTACAGTCTGCTGCAGTGAAGCCTGCCCACCTTTCTCGGTGAACTAACACTTCTTGCCCTGTTGCAGGCGAGCTGTGCGAGGAGAAGCTAGACTTCTGTGCCCAGGATTTGAACCCCTGCCAACACGATTCCAAGTGCATCCTGACGCCAAAGGGATACAAGTAAGTCAAGCTGCTTGGGGCTTACAGTGAGGTTGGGAGGGTGGGGGAAATATTTTAGCAACTGGTCTCCTCCACCATCCTTGGCTCCACACCTTTACTGAACATTAAAGAAAGGGTCATGCTCCGCAGTATCCATGACAGTTTTACAAATGTTCATATGCAGTGTGGACTTTTTTTTTAGTACACTGAACAAAAATAAAACGAGGTATCCTTTTGTTCCTTGACAATTTCTGGAAAGTCATTTATGAAATAAAAGAGCCTTTGAATGAGCTTCTTTACATTTATTTAAAGGCCAATCCAATTAAGTTTTTGACATCTACTAGATGTCTCATTATGTGAAGGTAACATTGTTTTAAATAGAGGAATTGATTTTGATGAAACTGAAAATGCTATGATCTAAAACAGTTCTCTGACTCTCTGGGATGGGAGAGGCATAGTGCCTGTGACTCTGGGTAATCTTAGTTTGTACCCGTTTTCTCACCGTAATTATTGACCTTTGCCCCTTTTGCCTTAAATATGAGCTCTTGTGGTCTGAAACTTTACATTCACACCGAGTATAGAGTTATCTCCAGGGGCTCAAAACATCAAAATTAATTTTTCTTCCCCAGCAATATCTCTGCAGTATGCTCTGTACAAATTAGATGATCCCTTTACTGCACTCTTGAAATGCATTAAGGGTCTATCAATAGTTTTAAAGCTGGCAGTAACAACCATCATCTAATCTGAGTGTTTCATTTTAAACATATGGATATTATAGCCCAGAGAGGTTGGGTAGCTATACAAAGACTTCACGTTAATTTATTGGCAGAACTGAAACTAGACTTAATACTTGAGTTATGTAATTAACCAGATCTGTGTTTCCGCTAATAGGTTTTCTAGTTTATTCAGACTGCAGTTGGCTTAGAATCAAGGAAAGAGTGGATGCTAGGGGATGACACAGTTGGGCTTAGGAGCTGGGCTGTGCTTACATAAGACAACTTGCAAGAACAACATTGAGTCCTTCAGCCAGTCTATAGAGTATGTGCTGTTGCCAGATGTGGGAAGATGCCGCCTCCTATTTTCATATCACTTCCCAGCTCTTCAATTTCCCTGCTTCATTTTCTTAGTGAAATGACCAAAGCTTAATTACTGTAGGACTCAGAAATCTAAAATCACTCAAGTCGGGGACAATTTTATAAGAATAAATGAGATTTGAGCTGTAAATCTGTGATTTTAATTTTTTACTAATGGTGCTAGGAACTCAACCCAAGGTCTTCTTGCACATGCTAGGCAAGTGCTGACAACAAGCTATACCCCATCTTGCTTTGTACTTTTTATTATATTTTGAGACAAGGTCTGACTAAGTTGCCCAGGCTGGCCTTGAGCTTGTGTTGCTCTTGCCTTGGCTTCCTGAATAGCCAGGTTATGTGCCTGTGTCACCAGGAATGCCAGAACCCCTCTGTCTTTCAAAGGTTAAACTGAATTTACTTATTCTTTTTTAAAAATATTTTATTCGTTATTTTTATTTTATATGTATGAATATGTGACCTGCATGTATGTGTATGAGTATATTGCCTTCACGTATGTAAGTATGCGTTATGCAATGCTTGTAGAGGTCAGACAAGGGCGAACTGAAGTTATGGACTGTTATTAGCTGCCATGTGGATCCTAGGAACCAAACCTCTCAGTCCTCAGTCCTAGTCCTGCAAGAGCAACCAGTGCTCTTAACTGCTGAGCCATCTCTCCAACCCCTAAATTTAATTATTCTTGAGTTTTTCTTCAACAATATGTTTCTTTTTCCTTGTACATTTTTTTGTTCATTCGTTTTGTTTTATTTGGCTTTGAGACAGGGTCTCTTTGTAGCCTTGGCTTGCCTAGAACTCACTATGTAGACCAGACTGGCCTTGATCTCACAGATTTTCTCTTCCCTCTGCCTCAGGAGTACTAGTATTAAATGCATGTGCTATCACACCCAGCTAGACAGTATTATTTTCTGTCAACTTGGTTTAAAAATCTAAACTTTTAGAACACCTAGATACAGTTACATGTGATGATTATATTCAGTATCACAAAGAAAGTTGCAGCTCTGAGTCCATTTTTCATAATATTTTAGTTTACCCCCATACAAAAACTAGAAGTCTTAATTTTTTTCATTTTAGTTGTTTTTACTTTGTACAAAATTCAGCATTATATTTTATTCAGCCAAACACTGTACATAAATTACTTTATCTCCCAATGACTTTGATCTGCCCACATTTGAGGCTGGAAAGTCAAAACCACATCACTTATGTAGTGAATGTAACCCCTTTAAAAAATTAACAAGAAAGATTACTCTGCAAATGTTTATTTGATAAACAGATTTTGCAGGACTTTTTGTATTCTAAGACATATTATTAGTAAGACTTAATGGAGACCATTTTAAAACAAGAGAATTTGTCTTCAACAAAAGGCTGGTTCTTAGTTATTGTCTATCACTGGTAATTGGGTTGCATACTCGTAGAGAGTGTGCTTGCCTGACTCTAGATGAACTGGCCTGGAAACCATAGCTTTCAACAATGATTCACAACTCATCTTATGACTGCACACGGTTGAGCTGGGAGCAGGTGACATCCATCTTATAAATAACTGCACACTGTGGGACACATAGCCGCAGATAGAAAATGGTCTTGAAAAGCAAACAAGATGGAACCGGTAAAGAAAATCTTTACTGAGAAATGTTTGGACAAGTTGTACTGCTTCTTCAATTTCATTTCCTTGTTACTAAACTAACAGAGCTGGTTTGACTTTTCATGCTTTATTATATACCTCATAAATCTCCTAAATTGCTTTGAGATATTTTTAGATCATGATATACCATAAGCAGTCTTTTCAAGCATGCATCTTACTTAGTTGGCATTTAGGCTTCTAAGCAGTATATTTTATATTCTGTACTTCCTGATCCTTGTCAGATAGTAGAATGGAAGGGATGTGATAGGTTTTGTTGAGAACAGAGACTTTAAGGAATTCTTATTTAAATATTCTTTTCTATTCTTAAACAAACAAAAGACAAAACTATTGGCCATGATATAACACCAAGCTCTGAGGGACTTAAAAAATAGTCTTTGGCAACAAGAGACATAGAATATCTCCTAGACAGCCACTGTGATAAATGCATGGTTCTCTTATCTTTTACTTTGATTTCTTTTCCCAGATAAATAATTCAGAGTGTTTCAGAACGCTTCTTCTTCTTTAATGCTAAGCACTTCAGTGACTCTGGCCACATTAGCATTGATGGAAGTTCCTTCCAGGGCCCCTTCCATCTACGTGAGAATGTGCATCACCACTTAGGGTCCATTTGGCCTCAGACTTGCTGTTTGCTTTATTATGATTTAGCGTTAAAGCTGACTGACTACAGAGCATGCACGCTACGCACTGAGCTCATTTTGTTCTAAATTCGTATGTGCTGAATGCCACGTAGAAGAGCTGTGCTCCCATTTGCTTTGGTACATCAGCTCTCCAAAAACTATCCTGATTCTGTTTTTTGGGACAATGCAGTTGCCACTCAGTAATGCCACATTCATTGGGGTACTATTCTAACTCTTCTTGCTTGCTTAAATATTAAATCTTTGAAATAGATTAGTGAATAAGTCATACAGAACACACCCTAAAGACCTTTATAGAACTATCAAGACTCATCATTACAAAAATTTAAATCATTTATTGATCATTCACATATCTGAAGGTTGTACCAACAACTTCACACATTACATTTATTTAATATTTTTAACATATTTTGAGGTGGTAACTATTATTACCATGTTACAGATGCGGAAGGAAACATTTAGACATAAATAACTTGGTTAAAAGATATTTTTATATTAAGCGAAATAAACCAAAGACATAAAACAAATACTGAAAGATGTTTCTTATATGTGGAATCTTAAAAGATGAACATAGAAACAAAGCACAAGGGTATTACCAGGGATTAGGAAATGGAGACATGTCAGCCTCTGATGATAAGAAATTTCAGAGAGATGAATATGTTCTAGAGACCTGATATAGAGACAGTGACTATAGTTAACAGCATCATAATTTGCTAAGGGAAGAGGTATTCATTGTTCTCATCATAAAGGTAAAAAGGCTAACCATGTGAGGTATCAGTTCCCTTCATAGTTACTGTGACAAAACAGTCATACAAAAGCAACTTAGATGAGAAGGGGATTGCCCTGATTCACAATTCAAGGTGCAGTTCATCATGGCAGGGAAGTCAAGGTGACAGTACCTTGAAGCACCTGGTCATATTACATCCCCACAAGCAGGAAACAGAGAGAAAGTAATGCACAATGCTGCAAGGTTCCCTCTTTGTCTGCACAGTCCAGGATCCCATCCAGGGAATGGCACCACCCACCATAGCTGGCCCTTCTCACATCAGCCAATAAGATCAAGATAATCCCCCAGAGGAGTACCCAAAGGCCCATCTCTCAGGTGATTTCTAGATCTTGACAGGGTGACTATTAGCACCAACAACCCCAATGAGGTGGTGGGTATTTATATACTTTTATGGTAGTTACCATTTCACAATGTGTACATGTCTGAAAACATCATGTTGTGTGTCTGGAAAATGTACAATATCTATTTGTCAATTGTACATCAATTAAGCTAGAAAATATGAAACTTGCCTTATTAAAAAGTACACTTACCAATGAAGCCAGAATGGAAGAGGACTTCTATATAACTTCAAAGTCCAAAAGTCTGTGGGGGGAAAAAATCCTCCCTTAAACTCAAAACAAACACACTCATGAAAAGTCATTATATAAACCTAACAAATCATAACAGGAGATTGTTGTGAGGAGAGATTGGAAGATATATGGGCCTGCCAGAAGAGTTCTTCCCATCTATGACCATACCCTAGGAGTTCCATTATCACTATAGATTCTCAGCACAGGGGAGTGTGACCTTTATGTATGATATGAAGAAACCCTGTATGTACTATTAGGCTCCTCATAAATGATAAAAGTCACCCTGTAAACTAGGTTCTGTGAGAGGTTAAGTAATTAATAACAGAACACTTTTAGCAATATACCATAATAAAAGTTTTGTGGAGATGCTCTCCTCCTCTCAAAGTGTCTCACTGTAATCTGTTCATCTATGATCATGTGAGATGATGCAGTGCCTATGTGATATGAGGAAGGCATGTGAATAAAGAAAGGCAAGGTGCCATAATGTTAAGGTACTTATGTAAGCATTTCCTGCACAACAGTACTACAGTACTGTAAAAGTGTGACCGCTTATTGAGAAGTTACTAGGTTACTATTGGGCAGGTAACAAGTGTTCAGTATGGATGCCAGGGACAAAGGAATGGCATGTATTCCAGGCAGGACTGGGCAGAAAAAGATTTTGTTATGTTACTCAGATGTATGCACAACTTGAAACTTGTTCTGAAATTTCTCACTGAGTACTTTAGACCATGAGGAACTGAAGCTAAGTAGAGGCTCTATAGTTTGAAAACTACTGTACATGCTATACTGCTTTTCTCAGGAAATCTATGTTCTTAAACTCACAGCTAGAATTTCCAATGGCCAGCACACTAGAGCACAGATTTAAAGGGAGCTTTGAGCAACTAATGATCCAACAACATGGTGCAGTGGCAAAGGACCCAGGCTCTTGTCACATTCTCAAATGAGACACTTACTTACACATTGTGTAAGTTCTTTCGGGTTTTTGTTCCTTAGTATTCTTATTTGGTCCAGATGTTGTAACCTCATAATCAATGTCACAGGGCAATAGAGCAGGTTCACTGAATTCTAATGTAATTTGGACTTAAAATGTTAGGACATGCTCAAAGAAGGTCCTCTGCATTAGTGCCCTGGTCCTTTCTGCTGCTAAGGTATACCACCAGAGTGAAGAGGATGCAAAACACCCCCATGGAATTGGTCTCAGGAATTCTGTACTGGATCTCCTACCCAACTGATCAAGCCAGTCTAATTCTTCCATAATAATTAAGAATAGATTACTTAAGAATCAGAGTGCCCAATATAATGTTTGATTTGTTTAAATTATATTTTGTTCTACTGTATCTTGTGTAGGACAAAATAAAACTGATAATCATTTTAACAATATGCTCAATATTCCCTGTAAATTTGTGAGGCTTAATAGCACATGATTGTAATCCCAGTACCTAAGAGGGAGGATTTTTATCAACCAAAGACTACAAGGAATTTGGGGGTACAGTAAATAAAGGACAACTCAGGAAACTTGGAGAGAAAAGGGAGGAAGGAGCAGGAGAAAGGGTGGGAAGGAGAGTACAGTGAGTTTCTTCTTATTTGAATTGAGGTTTATCCCTATCATCAAATAGTTAAAGTCACCATGCCTCTGACAGCTGGTAGGCCTGACTCACAGTGTAGCCAGCAATAGTTTGTAGACATCCATTAATTTGAGGATACAACTGTTCAAAGTGAGTGTTTGTTTGAAGATACCAGTAACAGTGGAATCTCATCTAGATAAAATGGTATTTACTGAAGTTTGGTTCAGTCAAGTTTGACACTTCACTGCTTGTTCAAACAGGTGTGACTGCACACCAGGATATGTTGGTGAGCATTGTGACATTGACTTTGATGACTGCCAAGATAACAAGTGTAAAAATGGCGCTCACTGCACTGATGCGGTGAGCGGTTACACATGCATCTGTCCTGAAGGCCACAGGTAACACATAAGTACACACTTGTATTTATGGAGATATCTTACAGACTTCATCACATCTAATTTAATTCATGTTTTCTCTATAGTGGCTTGTTCTGTGAGTTTTCTCCACCCATGGTCCTCCCTCGTACCAGCCCCTGTGATAACTTTGATTGCCAGAATGGAGCTCAGTGCATCATCAGGATAAGTGAACCAATATGCCAGTGTTTGCCTGGCTACCAAGGAGAGAAGTGTGAAAAACTGGTCAGTGTGAATTTTGTGAACAAAGAATCCTATCTTCAGATCCCTTCAGCCAAGGTTCGGCCTCAGACAAACATCACACTTCAGGTGAGAGTTCCCCCTCCAGAAAGCTAATCTGATTAGGAGCCAAATTCGGCCTGAAGGAGTGGGCACCTTAATAGCTTGACCAAAATAAACAGCTAACAACTGCCTGCCTGTGAAAAAAAATGCTCCCCGTGTGAAAAGCTTCAGCAATATTTCCTTTCAACATTTTTCAAAATAAGATAGGATCTAGGATTTTAAGTCACTAAATGACTTGGGTAAAAGAATACCAAAGTTGCCTCTTTATTTTACCCTTAAATGGAGTTTTTACTCATTGACTTTAATGGCCTTTTGAATTCTTTATGGATGTATTTGAACATCAGAATAACTTACAGACTAGTCACCTGTTAAGCAGTAACTTCGGCATGCATCATTTTCTCATAGCCCTGAGGCAAAAATAAAGCATAGTTAAAACTCCTCATTCACTTAGCAGCCTGTTTCTTTGGATGAATACATTTGGTTGACTGTGCATCCTAACATCAGGGCTACCTCCTACTAGGTTGCCACAGATGAAGACAGCGGCATCCTCCTGTATAAGGGTGACCAAGACCACATTGCTGTGGAACTCTATCGAGGGCGAGTTCGAGCCAGCTATGACACCGGCTCTCACCCGGCTTCTGCCATTTACAGGTGAAGATTTCTCAGTTACTGGTAAAGGTGAAACAACTTGTTTAATAGAAGAACCACTTCTATTCTATACTTCTGCAGAAGGGATGAAAGGGAATATTTTGATGATAGCAGGTGACTTAGGAATTTTTTATGGTACTATAACAGGATACTTGAGACTGATTAACTTGAAAAGAATATAATTTTATTTCTTATAGTTCTTCGAGCTAGAACAATCCAAGACCAAGTGACCCACATCTTCCAAGGACCTTTTAGTGGTATCATTTCTTGGTAAAGGGAAGATGGGCAAGAGAGCATGTACAAGAGATGGAGGAAGGGAAAGGGGCTACCTCATCCCTTTTTCAGGCACCTACTCATGATAACAAGTCTGCTCACTGCCGTCTAGGTCCATTCCTGGGTAAAGGTAGAGCCCTCCTGATCTAGTCATCTTTCAAGGCCCCTGCCCTTCCTCACTGCTGCACTGGGGGTTAAGGTTCTTATGTGTGAACTTTAATGGATATAGTCAAGCTATAGCAATAGGCTCTGTGATGTTGTGTTAGTGTCAGTAATTCTCTCTCATCCAGCAGACATGTTACCTACCTAGTAAATTTCTTCTCATGTAAAAGAAAATATATAGAAATCAATTTAGAGCAAGGACCAGTCTCATTCACAGATTTTCCAGGCAGATAAATTAATTATTCCTTAAAACGCTGAACTTTTTAAGTGTGTATCCTCTATAACAAATAGCTTTGGTATTGGCAACCTAATAGCAATAATTGCTGCTGGAGAGAGCTAAGATCAAACCTTTGTTAAGACAGGTCTTTCTTGACTAAGTTCTTTCTGTATACTGTCAAATGAAAATGTAGATCCATGTTTTTCCAGACTCCTGATTACCCACGAAAGACAGAAATCTACTGTTGCTGTTGTACCAATATGAACTTTTCTCTCCTTTAAATATTGATTCACATTTATAATGCCATGTTTTGAGCAGAACACATCAGTAGGCCAAGCATACTTAGCCACAAGTGTTGGACATTAATCTTTACATGAAGTATAGCAAGTGACTTCAAAGTTTTGCTATTACCCTTGCATGTATAAATATGCTTCAGAAGCCTTCACAACTTATTGGCTCCTTCATAAATAGTTCTGGGAAAGTAGATGCAAATTGTAGCCATGAGTGGAATTTGATCATTTCTTGTGGTGGTGAGCTAACCCACTTAGGACTATTTAGAGCATGGAAACAGACACATAATTATTGGTTTCCAAGTGGAATACAAAGGTTATTTCACCTCCAAATGGTGATGAATTAGTGCCAGCATTTTATTTATCACTAGACTATAAATTATATAGTCTCAAGTGTGTTTAAGCCCAAAAAAAGATTGCATAAATTTATGGTTTATTATTGTTGTTTTTACTTTTTGATGATAATGATGCAGTATAGAATTCCTCCAAACCATGGTGAAACTTCTTGGGTTGGATTATTAAAGCTGGAATTCACATAAAATATACCAAAAATATTTCTAGATAAGCTGTAGAAACCAAAGTGATCACTTCCAAATGAGGACTTACTGGAAAGGGCTTTTTGTGTTTGTTTGCTTGAGCTTATATTCATTATGATTTCTTCCCTAACAAGCAATAGCACGCATCCTGTGACACTCATAAAAAGAACATTATGTTGTATATTTTCCATTTAAAACCAAAAGTTCATGTTTCTGGTAGAAAATCATCTAATAAGGACATATATTTTGAGGTCTTGGACAAATATAGCTTCTATTTAATTATCTCCCAAATTAAAACATATAATTTGGAAAAATCTATTACATTATTTTATAGTTAAAAAACAGAAAACAAGTATCTGGAACTCAAGTGAGTAGATAGCTAACATACTAATTGTGAATTAATAAAATTAATAATTTTCTAATCTATAATGGGAAAAAACACAGGGTTGAAAAAGTGAAGGAAATCTAGCATGACATTGAAAGACAATCAAGGTACATTGCTCAGTTTAAAATAAAAAGTAACAGTGTCAGAGGAGAGTATAGAAAGATAGATGACAGATCGATAGATAGAGATAGATAGATAGATAGATAGATAGATAGATAGATAGATAGATGATAGATAGATAGATAGATAGATGATAGATAGAGAGAG